TATGTATATAAATAGAATTATGCATCAAGGAGAGCTAGCCATAAAATCCAATATAATTAATTGTATTCTTATCGTATATAACAACATTAACAACAACACGTTCAAACAATCAGAATGAGAAATCATTTCTCAATAGGGGCTAGTTTTAAAAATATTTTTAGACCACAATAATCATGACGTGTGGCCTGTACCTAAATTGATTTTTGTGCATCGTGTCATTCCCATACGTATTGTGATTTGCACAATACAGATATTAATATTAGCATTGATTATAAATACTATAGATAGCCCACTGCTATAGGAAAAAGGCTGTACGTCAGTTAGCGGCAGCCGTTATACAGCGCTGTGGGCACCCGCCTAGTATTGGCGGTGAACGTTGTAAGCGCTAGTGATTGCAGGAGTGGGGACCGATGATACGTGGCGCACTTTCATGTTGATAGACTACCGACTACCATGAGTACCATGCGCTATCCGCTATCCGGTTGCGTTCTGGTTGCTTCATTAATTATTATTTGCTTATTGGTTCAAAAATGAAGGTACACACTCGCCCCCCGCGACGTACGCTCTGTGTTATCATTGACATATTTTGTTACTTAGAGTTGCTGATTGAAGGAAAAAGACCCTATAGGATTTTAATTTTTTGGGCTCGCTGGATAAGCATAATATATGTAATTATGAGCGAAAAAAAATAGTTCTTATTTAAAAAAAATATTATGCATGAGCATGACCCTTTTATGAGTTTAATTTTTACACTATATAACTGAACACTAAATAAAATGTTCATACTTTTATTCTTATTTGTAAATTAAAATAAAATATGGAGTTTGTGTTAACCTAGTACCTACCCATTTTAACATTACAAATCTAATTTAGGTACAAATATATATTGTAATCAAATTGTTTGTTTAAATCTACTCATACAGTAGAACCTCGATTATCCGAACCTCCGTTATACGAACCCTCTATTATCCGTTGTCGAATTTATCATAACTATCGTTTTTGGATTATTATTAGTACAGGTTATGTATCATCACAAGACAGGTAAAGTGTTACTCCTACTAGACAATGCACCCACTCACCCATCCGCCAAAGTATTGAATTTAATTGATCCAGATTATAAAGTCATGTTTTTTCCACCAAAAGTAACGTCTTTGATTCAACCCATGGATCAGGGAGTAATCGAAAAGTTCAAAAGAATGTACCAAAAACAAATGTTGAGGAGACTTTTATTAAATGAAGGCACTGGAGAGAGTGTTGTTGCATTTTCAAAATTATTGAATTTGAAACACTGCTGTTACATGGCAGCAGTTGCCTGGGATAATTTGACTGAGGAAAATTTACGAAATGCTTGGAAGAAGTTGTGGGTTGCTTCTATGGAGTTAGAAGCCGAAGAAGAAACTGATCTAAATAATCTTGATGATTTTGAAAAAGAGATATGAGCCAATATCAGCCTACAGGAAAAGATTACTTTTTAATGACAAACCGTCTAACACAAGATGCGTTGGAAAATTTTTTTTCATTAATGAGACAAAAAAATGGATATAACAGGAATCCAACAGCGAGGACTTTCCATTGTTGTTTTGGTCATATGCACTTACAGTTTAATGCAATGTTCAACGTGTTGCAGAAACTGTGAGGATGATGACGACAATTACATAACCATAGCTGATGTAGAAAACGTAACTGTACTACCGGGGCCAGTAGTAGTCGAAGATTTAAGTGAAACGCTCGAATCAGTTTCTACTTTTTCAGAAACTTCTGGTAGCCCTAAAACAACTGTCGAGGCAACACCAATATCGTTGGAGACTTGTAGCATAACATATTTTGCTGGTTACTTGGCAAAAAAATGCATTCAAAAATTCAATTGTGAAATGTGCAAATTAAATTTAATAACAAAAACAAATAAAAATTATGAAAATCAACTTTTATTGCATAACAAAACGTATGATTATACAGGCCAAGGGTATGGGTTGCAAGCACCAACAAATATATTATTAGATATATCTACTATATGTTTACATGTTTTTAAAAATAATTTTGATGAAATTAAGTGCAACAAAAAATTATTAACGCAATTAATTTCTAAAGCAGAAACCAAAATAGAGGACAAATATTCAATTTTTCAATCTTCGTGCAAAGAACACTTTCAATATGTAATTGAACTACTTTTAASAATAAAATTATACAAAGAATGCAAGTGGCTAAATGCAAACAGTGGAAAACGAACAATGCAAAATGTAAATAAACTTCGGGTTTTAAAAAATACCTAAGTAATTTATTATACCTATTTATAATACATGTTATTAGGTACATAAACAGATTTAAAATAGTAACTTTTTTTATATGTTAATAAAGTTGTAAAAAAACTCAATTGTTTTATTAATTTAAAATTCTTCTTGTATAATTTTATTATGAAAAAAAAATATTATTTTTGTTTGAACATAAATAGAAAAATTTTAATAAAACAATAAATTGTAAAATACGCTTAGTCATTGGTTTAGAAGTGGTCACAGAGGTAAGTACAATGGTAATTTAGTCAATAATAGTAAAATAAATAAATCGGATGAATGTTACACTGTTTATTTTGCAGAATAACGATGTATTTACTATTTCCAGTGTACAAATTGCGTTAATCATATTATAATCAAAAAACATTTTAGTGAACCTAATTAAATATTTGTAATTTTTAAACACTTGATTTTTGAATATTTTGATGAAAATATTATAGTCATGGTATAAAAAATTCTTCTATAATTTATTAATTTTGTGATATTATGAATATGAATATGAATTTTAGTTTTGACATAAGTATTTGAAAAGTACCTATTTTAAATGTTCACAAACGAGTAAGTACCTAGGTAATCGAATTAAAGGGAAAAACTTTTTATGTGAACAAACTGCATACAGTATTTTATATTATATTATATTATATTATATTCGTATTCTAGCCATCATCGATGTCGGATATCGGGTCTGTCATCTGTGTCATCGCGCACAGGAAACATTGCAATCGCTGAACGACTGCGACGGCGTTTGACTCATAGACATAATAATATATGGACTGCGCTTTCCTCACCCCCAGTCTATCATGTCAGGTCGTCGAAATTGTTTGAGAGAGATGGCGATAGTTGGGGGCAGTCATGGAAGAAATACGTCTATATTTTATACACCATGAATATGTTTATTATTAATAAATGTGTAATAATAGTAAATATTATGTTAAATTATTTTACAAAGTATACGTACCTAC